TGGTACACGAGACGCGTTCATAGCGCAGCGCAAGGAGGAGGCACAGAGGAAGAAACTCAGATCCCAGCTGCTGCTGCAGCAACAGAATCAGCTTCTGCTGCTGCAGCAGCAGCAGGAGCAGCAGCACCAGTGGTTCGGCTCGTCCAAAAGGCGCAGGCATGACAGCAGCAGCAGCAGCAGCAGCAGCAGCGAGATCGACGAGGCGCTCCTCCAGTTCGCAGAAATGCAAGCCGCGATGCAGCTGCAGCAGCAGCAGCAACAGCAGCAGCAACAGCAGCAGCAGCAGCGGCAGCGGCGTGAGGAAGCACAGCCCCCTCTGCAGCGCCAGCAGACCGAACAGGAGGCTGCTGCTGCTGCAGCAACAGCAGCAGCAGCACCAGCTGCAGCAGCAGCAGCAGCTGCTGCTGCAAGCTCCCCCCCTGCCGTTGCGGACTCAGCAGCAGGTGGAGGGGACCATCCCGCATCGTCTTCATCGCCATCGCAAGGAGCAGCAGCAGCAGCAGCAGCAGCAGCAGAAGGAGCAGCAGCAGCAGCAGCAGCAGCAGCAGGACACGTGTGCTCTGGGAGCCGCTGCAGCATAAAGGCCTTGGGGGGGGAGATGTACCGCTGCAGCGAGAGCGGTTTGCTGCACTGCTGCGGCTCGCGCTGTCTGCGGATGGAAGCAGCAGGAGAGGTGGGGTTTGTTGTGTGCCCTGTCTCGGGTATTATGACGGACATTGCTGGCTGCTATGCTGCTGCTGCTGCTGCTGCTGCTGCTGCTGCTGCTGAGCAAAAAAACCTACTCAACAACGCAACACATACACACACAGGAGGAACTGATGCTGCTGCTGCCGCTGCTGCTGCTGCTGCTGCTGAGCGCCGCTTGAGGGGAGCCGCGTTGCTGCACGAACTGGCTGGCTTGCTGCAGCAGCAGCAAGCAGAAGCAGCAGCAGCAGCAACAGACGATGATGAGCCGCTTGATGCTTTCTCTGAAGCAGCAGCAGCAGCAGCAGCACCGCGATGGAGATGCGGGGACCTCAAAGCCAAACGCAGAACGCCCAAAAAAAGGGGATGCACAAGGCGCAGCTAACGCTGCTGCTGCTGCTGTAGCTGCTGCTGCTGTAGCTGCTGCTGCAGTAGCTGCTGCTGCAGTAGCTGCTGCTGCAGCAGCTGCTGCTGCAGCTGCTGCAGCGCTTGATGCAGTACCTGCAGAAGCAGCCGGAACGAAATGCAACTGCTGCTGCTGCGGCAGCAGCAATCGCAGATGCAGCAGTAGCAGCTGCAGCTGCTTAATTCTGTTGCAGCAGCAGCAGCAGCAGCAGGGGGGGGGCTGGCAGCAGCATTGCCGTCAGCTGCTGCTGCAGCCGTGCCTCCACGAAAGCGAGGGGGAGCGCCGAAATGTTGCTGCAGCTGCTGCTACCGCTGCTGCTGCTGCTGCTGCACTATCAGCTCGCGCAACAGCAGGCAAACGTAATGATGTATGTTCTATAAGGTGTGGAGTTGCTGACGCGCGCAGCAGCAACAGCAGCAGCAACAGCAGCAGCAACAGCAGCAGCCTCAGTAACAGCAGCAGCAAACAGCAGCAGCAACAGTCGCAGCGATAACAACGGCTACAGCACAAGCAGCTTCTGCTGCTGCTGCTGAAGCCTCTTAAATTATGTCAGGTTATGGATATATGTTTTGCCTTGAAGACAGCAGCAGCAGCAGCAGCAGCAGCAGCAGCAGCACATACTGAAAAAGCAGTTGCTGCAGCTGCTGCTGCAGGTGCTGCTGCAGCTGCTGCTGCAGGTGCAGGCAGCTGACATTACGGGAGCAGATGCATGCGTCTTGCTCCCTCAACTATGTCACGCAACTCAATCAACATACTCTGTTGCTGCTGTGGCTGCTGCTGTTGCTGTTGCTGTTGCTGCTGCTGCTGCTGCTGCTGTTGCTGCTGC